GCAATCATACACTTGTAGGAAGTATTTATATTCATTACAGCAGTTTAAAGTTTGAGATATAAAGTAATTTAAAGTGCGTCGTCAGTCAATCTAATTTATCATATTGTTTCCGAAACTGTTGGTGAAAATGAATGACGTGAGATGAAATGCAATGAATGTGTGGATCGGTGCATTAATATAATGATAGTGGGGTATATCGGATATAGATGATGTGCTGCGAAACTTATACTATTAACATATTTAGTGTCAAATTACCGGGTGACAGTCTTTAAACCTGGGCAGATTGGGCTCTTCCCAGCGACCCCTTCCCGGCTCACGCTTGCTTACTCACCACCGAGTCAAGATTCATTCTTCCCAAGACTATGGGAATATCCCTTAGCTTTGCCTTTACCAATTCTTACATTTTATTTCGTTTCAGCGGCTGGTGTCCAACACCTTGTTGGCGTTCCCCCACCATACTATTCAAGAAACCCATTACTCTCGAGATTTCCTTTCAATCCGTCTTTTACATATTCATTTCGTTATCTTTGGTAATGAAATAACTGTAAACATTTGGAAATATAAGGGCGTATGAAATATTATCATTAGTATTCTATTTTCCAAATTAAATATCAAGAGTTTACCATTATCTAAAGAGCTGATCTGGGTGATATAAGACGGAGGAGAGAGAGAGAGAGAGAGAGAGAGAAAAGAGAGAGAGAAGAGAGAAAAGAGAAGAGAGAAGAGAGAAGAGAGAAGAGAGAGAGAAGAGAGAGAGAGAGAGAGAGAGAGAGAGAGAGAGAGAGAGAGAGAGAGAGAGAGAGAGAGAGAGAGAGAGAGAGAGAGAGAGAGAGAGAAGAGAGAGTAATTGAACATATATTTTTTTTATTTACTTACAACACTCCGAACATACCCTTAAAGGGAGCCAAGAGGCCTACGCATCCCCACTCCAGCGATTGTTCTTGCATCGAGCACTGAGCGAAGGAGCAGCATCAAGGAGGTGATAAGACCGCCCGGGATGCTTCTGCTGGCGCGGAACCCACGAGGAAGAGAACCCACGAGGAGAGAACACGAGGAAGAGAACCCACGAGAAAGAGAACCCACGAGGAAGAGAACCCACGAGGAGAGACGACGAGAAAGAGAACCCACGAGAAGAGAACCCACGAGGAAGAGAACCCACGAGGAGAGAACCCACGAGGAAGAGAACCCACGAGGAAGAGAACCACGAGGAAGAGAACCCACGAAGAGAGAAAGAGAACACACGAGGAAGAGAACCCACAGGAAGAGAACCCACGAGGAAGAGAACCACGAGAAAGAAACCACGAGGAAGAGAACCCACGAGGAAGAGAACCCACGAGGAGAGAGGAAGAGACGAGGAAGAGAACCCACGAGAGGAGAGAACCCACGAGGAGAGAACACACGAAGGAAGAGAAACCACGAGGAAGAGAACCCACGAGGAAGAGAAGGAAGAGAACCACGAGAAAGAGAACAGAGGAAGAGACAAGAACCCACGAGGAGAGAACCCACGAGGAAGGAACCCACGAGAAAGAGAACCACGAGGAAGAGAACCCACGAGGAAGAGAACGAACCACGAGGAAGAGAACCACGAGGAAGAGAACACACGAGGAAGAGAACCCACGAGGAAGAGGAGGAAGAGAACCCACGAGAAGAGAACAACGAGGAAGAGAACCCACGAGGAAGAGAACCCACGAAGAAGAGAACGAGGAAGAGAACCCACGAGGAAGAGAACCACGAGAAGAGAACCACGAAGAAGAGAACCCACGAGGAAGAGAACCCACGAGAGAACCCACGGGAAGAGAACCCACGAGAGAGGAAGAGAACCCACGAGGAAGAGAACCACGAGGAAGAGAACCACGAGGAAGAGAACCACGAGAAGAGAACCCACGAGAAGAAACCCACGAGGAGAGAACCACGAGAAGAGAACCACGAGAAGAGAACCACGAGGAAGAGAACCCACGAGGAAGAAACCACGAGAAGAGAACCACGAGAAGAGACCCACCCACGAGGAAGAGAACCCACGAGAGAAACCCACGAAGAAATGGTTTTACATCCCTCTTCGCTCGGAAAGGAACGACCGAAGCTAAAGTCGCTTTCTACAGAAGCGCTGCCACGTCGGCCTCTACAACTCACAGATCTGGAGACATACGCACACACGCAAACACACACATGCACACATACACACAATCACACAATCACACATACAATGACGTCGGGATTAAAAATCTACGGCTCACACGCCTTGGTAACGTGGAACGCCTTGGACTTTCTAAGATGAGAGGAACGCCAGACTCCCGGAAGAAAAAGTGTTTTAGATACTTGCGATTCCCGGTCATGCGACTTTTCTTTCATCTCTAGGACCTCCTTCCTTGAAAAATGTAAACGTAGACAAACTCGGAAGAGCAGTGAAGGTAAGCAGAGAGGACAGGTCAACAAGCGAACAGACAAACAACCGAATGAGCAGATTGCATATTACGCACACTAATGAATTATTGGCAGCGTA